TATTTTTATTTTTTTGTAATTGATTTTGCTGTCTTCGTGAGGTAGACTTATTTGCATGGTGAATTGGTGAATGATCTGCTTTACATTCTGTTGTGTTCGAAATTAGCTTATGGTTGCGAAATTTTCTACTTCAGTATATGAGAAGTAGGGATTCCAAAACAATTCCCAATATATGGAAGAAGCTTTATTTTTATGTGGACTGAACGTAGATACTTTAGTTACTTTAATTCAGTTGGGAATTGACATTCTAATTACAAAACGATTTTATGGTATTCGCTTCATCTTTCGTTTCTGCAGTAATATAAAGGATGGCTGATTCCGAGGATATTCAACCCCTTGTTTGTGACAATGGAACTGGAATGGTCAAGGTTAGTGAATTCTATTTGCACGTCTTTTGTGGACACTAGAAGTGTGTTCTCTTTGTATTCTATTCTAGTCGTTGTTCTGTATGAATGGTATATAACTTAATATTTACTTGCAGGCTGGTTTTGCTGGTGATGATGCTCCCAGGGCAGTATTCCCCAGTATTGTTGGCAGACCTCGACACACTGGTGTCATGGTTGGGATGGGGCAGAAGGATGCCTATGTAGGTGATGAGGCCCAATCAAAAAGAGGTATCCTTACCTTGAAGTATCCGATTGAGCATGGTATTGTGAGCAACTGGGATGATATGGAAAAGATCTGGCATCACACATTCTACAATGAACTCCGCGTTGCTCCTGAGGAGCATCCTGTGCTTCTTACAGAGGCGCCTCTCAACCCAAAGGCCAATAGGGAGAAGATGACCCAGATCATGTTTGAGACCTTCAATGTGCCTGCCATGTATGTAGCAATCCAGGCTGTTCTTTCATTGTATGCCAGTGGTCGAACAACAGGTCTGTAAAGATCAAATCAAAATTTCACTTGAACATTTCCTGCTGTTTTTTATTAAACTAACACTTTTTTGAGCAGGTATTGTGCTTGATTCTGGTGATGGTGTGTCTCACACTGTGCCAATCTATGAAGGCTATGCCCTTCCCCATGCCATCCTCCGTCTAGATCTTGCTGGTCGTGATCTCACCGATGCTTTGATGAAGATTCTTACAGAAAGAGGTTACATGTTCACCACCACTGCCGAGCGGGAAATTGTCCGTGACATGAAGGAGAAGCTTGCATATGTGGCCTTGGACTATGAGCAGGAACTTGAGACTGCCAAGAGCAGCTCATCTGTTGAGAAGAACTTTGAGTTGCCTGATGGGCAAATAATCACCATTGGAGCTGAAAGGTTCCGTTGTCCTGAAGTCCTCTTCCAGCCATCTCTCATTGGAATGGAAGCTGCTGGAATTCATGAGACGACCTATAATTCTATCATGAAGTGTGACGTGGATATTAGGAAGGATCTTTATGGTAACATTGTGCTCAGTGGTGGTTCAACTATGTTCCCTGGTATTGCGGACCGTATGAGCAAGGAGATCACTGCCCTTGCTCCCAGCAGCATGAAGATTAAAGTGGTTGCCCCACCTGAGAGAAAGTACAGTGTCTGGATTGGAGGATCAATCCTGGCATCCCTCAGCACCTTCCAGCAGGTGAAGTAAAATTTTTTTTCTACGAATATCTAGTTTTGCCTGCTCTAATTTGTTGGCTTCTCTCTCTCTCTCTCTCTC